CACACACATGTGCGCTGCGACGGTTCTTCGCCTGCGTCGTTTGCCTTCCACTCTAACTCACTCACGTCCAACACAGCTGGCTGCGCCTCCCGCCTCCCGACGACTTTGTCCTGGACGAAGCTTCCGGCACCTGAACACATGTCTCGAGAATGTTGGAAGGCGCACGCGCACGCCCCCCCCCCAAAAAAAAGGTTTTCCATCCTCTCCGCATACGTTGTTTTCACTCAAACCGGGCTAACATCGAACCCAGCTGGCAGCGCGCCCCGCCTCCCGCGGATGATGTCCGGGACACACCTTGCAAAATCTGAACACATGTCTGGCGAACCCCGGAGGTCGTGCGTGCGCCACACCCCGCAGGATCCGTCCTCTTTTTCCCGCAGTCGCACTTGCTCTATGCCAACGTTGTCCTAGTCCGCTGAGCGGTGCTCTGCGTGTGCTCCTGCGCGACGCCGTCCTGTCGACGCGACGCAGGGTATCCTCGCTCGACGTAGGAGGAACGATGTTCCACGCAGCGCCGTCCACAAAAAATCTATATAGAGCGTCGGCGGAGCGATGCTCTGCCGCTCGCGCCGAGCGATGCTCTGCGCACGTCGCTGCCCGTGAGACACTAGTAGGGGTGCTCCTCCTCCGCTTCCGCGTACTCTTCGACGCCGCTGCCTCCAATGTTCAGAGGTCTGCCTTTTGGCGCCTTCTCTGTCCCCCCTAAGTTCAACAAGTAGCTCGAGTTGAACACCCACACCATTCCTTTGGATCCTGCGCGGTCGCGCAAACCCGCGCGGTGTTCGCCGAACCACACGGTGACCGCGTCCTTTGTCTCCACTTCTTCCTCGGTCTGAGCGTCATACAACATCACCGGCACCTCGTAGCCGTTTGCCATTGTCACGCCAATCTCCTTCATCGGCACGTCCTCGTGCGTGTGGATGAGGCCTTCCACTCGGCTCACAATCCCTTGGAAACAGGAAACCAAGGGTGCCGCCGTCAGAGCGCTTGCCCCCATAATTCTGCGTCGCAGTGTATGGATCCAAGTCAAACTTCCAAGGCCTCTTCGCGGACTCGCTCAGCAGCAATCGAGCCAAATTGCCTTGTTCCCCCAGAGCTGTGTTCACTTGCAAGCACACGGCCTGAAAACCCAACTTTTGGTCTTCCGGGGGCAAGTCCGCGAAAACTGCTTCGCAGGCATCCATGACCATCCGCATCACGATCGTCCCATACAAACTGCTCTTCACGTACTGGTAGCTGTCGCCTTGGACGATCGCGAGGTCATATCTCGGCTCTGCCTCGTCGCCCCAGTGCACCGCCCACTTCACGTTCGCCCGACGGCACACTCACCGGGCACACTCACCGGGACGGTTGCGGACTATAGGTTTAAAGTGTACAAAAATTGAAGCACGCGAAAAGCAAGGGCCCTAAAAAGCTCGAACACGAATCCTATGGCCGTTTCCTCACCTAAGATGTTGTTTTTTCTTGTTCTATCCCACACCCGCTCTCCCCCCTGACCGGCTCCGTGGACACCAGCTCCAATGGCGCTGTCTTGCGCTGAGCGATGCATCATCCGCGCCGACTCGGGGTAGTCCGCGTAGCAAGTCTGCCAGAGGATCTTCGGGGCGGCCTTCAGACTGGGCGCCACTTGCGTCCACGGCAACTTCACGGCAGCATGCGCGGACAACACCCGCACGACCTCTGCCCATGTGCGCGAGCTCGCTAACCTCGCTGCCACGAAGCTTTCTGCCAAGATCTCCTTCTCTGTGCAGTTCCACCCCGCGCAGACCACCACCGCGATCCAGGGGTCATTCGCCGCTGAGCGATGCTCTGCGGCGCTGTCTTGCGCTGAGCGATGCTCTGCGGTTGCAGCAACCTCTCGCTGTGCTCGCATGTCCTCGAGCGTTGCCGTCACCAAGGTGTCCATGGCTCCAGACGCCTCTGATCGCTTGAAGTGCAACTGGTCTTTTGCGTTCCCATAGGCTTTCCCCACCAGGTTGAGGATAGTGCGAGGCGTCTCAGGCACTCCAAAGCACTTCCTAGCCAGCTGCAAACCTTCATACGCTCTGCCAGGCACTGACTCCCGTGCAGGAACGATGCCCACCTGCACCGCATGCTCCGCATGGAACGCTTCCAGACCTCCTGGCAAGATCCATTGCTCCATCACAACGTCCAAGGCGCATGGGCCAGCAGTCCCTGGTTTTACCAGGCTCCCGCTGCAGACGACAGCTGCCACCAACTTCGTCTCATCTCGGACCACCAACGCTGTCCCTCCGAGGTTTCCACCCGGAAGCCACCCATAGCCCGTCGAGTCCGACAGCACCAACGTGAACGTTGGTGCGCTCGCCATGGCGACTGTCTCCGGCAACCGAAGGCGACAGCGAAGGTGGGCTACTTAGCACTCTGTGGTAACAAGCAACTGTTGCGTGCAAACTTCGCTACAGCGGCTGCGCGATGCGCTGACTCTCAGGTAGAGGGTGACATGGAACTACTCCGGGTGGTTTGGTGCAGTTTCTCATGCTCTTGCCTTTGCCTCTGCTCTGTCCCACGACGCTTGTTTGTCTTCTTGTCAACCGAAAGCTCTGGTAGAAGATGACATAGAACTACTCAGGGTTGTTTTGCGCACTAGCCTCTCGTGCGCTTGCCTCTGCCTGTGCTCTGTCTGACAGCGCTTTTGTTTCTTTTTGTAAACCATTAGCTCTTCTAGGGGGTGAAATAGAACTACCCAGAGTGGTTTTGTGCACGTGAACCTAACGCTCTCGTAGGGAATGAAATATACCTATCAAGGGTGGTTTTGTACCTCAGCTTATCGTGCTCATGCTTCTGCTTGTGTTCTGTGAACCAAAAGTTCTCGATCATCCGCATATGTTTCCGCTTTGGTGCGACTCCGTGCTCGCTGTGCTCTGTCTCGCTAACTCTCTCGGTCCCCGCCTGCGCTCCACCGTGCTCGACGGCTCTCCCGACCTTCGGTGTGCGCAATGCACACCCGGGCGGTCAGCCCCCTTCTTGCGAAGGATGCTGCCGGGACGCCCGAAGTCCCGGCCCCCGTCGTAAACGAGGGTGGGAGAGCGATGCTCCCCCACAATCTGATAGCAGGGATAGGGAAAGAGACAGGGACAGCTACCGACAGATACCGCGACGGAGACAGAGGCAAAGGAGAGGGAAGAGAGAAAAACAGCGAGAGACGGCAAGAAAGTGAAAGACAGAGACACGAAAAAAGAGAGAGAGAGAGAGAGAAAGAGAGATACCAGGACGAAGACAGAGACAGGTACAGACAAAGAGAGGAAAGGGAAAGAGAGAATGAAACAGACAAAGCAAGAGCGACAGAGAAGAGAAAGTGCCGTGCCCTACACACACCCTCTTTATGCGGCTTTTTTGGATCTTAAGGTTGGGTTCTCTGTCTCTCTCTTTCTCTTTTTTTGAGCCTTGGTGGGGTCTATACTGACCAAAGTTTGGCCATAAGGTGCGCATCTTAGCACTAGGTTGGGCCAAATTGGGCCCATGTGGTGTATGTTGAGCACATCTTAAACCCATGTTGAAACTACGTTACACCTATGTTAGGCATATGTTCTCCTGGGTTGGGCCTATGTTGCCATACGTTGGCGTACGTTGGCCCCATGTTGCAAACGGGGCATCGGCCCTGCACATATCCCACACCCAAATAGGCCGGCGCCCGGCTGTCAGGCGTAAGCCTCTTAAATCCGGGCGCCGGCCACGAAGCCCGTGCCCTGCCCGGAGGGCCTTCGGTGGTAACCGAAGGTTATAGACGGGCGCGCCGGCTGCCGCCGACCCTCGGTCCCAAAACGGGGGGACGACCGGTTCACTGAAGCCCCTGTAATTTACAGTGTATCGTGTGTGTGCGGTATAAAAAACACTGTGCTTTACAGGGTTTATTGCGCATATCGAAGTACGACGGGGGGAAAAAGGGAAAAATGCAAAAATGCTGTGTTTTTCAAGGGTGGTGTCGGTAATGCGCGCCGGGCGGACAGGCTTAATCGACATTTTGTGGGTAGAGGCCCTCCAGACGACTTACATTTCCTAACATATCCTCAACATAGGCCCAAGATAGCCAACATATCCCCAACATATGCCCAACATAGCCTCCAAGATGGCTCAACATAGGGCCAACATGGGGCCAACATAGGCCCAACCTGGGCAAACATAGGCCAACATAGGCCTAACATAGGCCGACATAGGCTCAACATAGGCTCAACATGGGCCCAAGATGTGCCCAACATAGATCACATGGGCCCAACTTGGCCCAACCTAGGGCCAAGATGCGCACCAGATAGCTTAACTTTGCTCAATATAGGGCCCCCATCTCCGACGCCGACCAGTTTCGCACCTTGGCACCACCCAGGGCCCAGTACGCCCCCGATAGCTTAACGTGCACCCGACCCAGCCCTACACAGACCCAAGTGGGCCGGCGCCCGGCTGTTAGGCGTAAGCCTTTAAATCCGGCCAGGGGCCCGCTGGCCGTGTCCTTGCCGTAGGCGTCTCTCCTCTCCGTAGGAGAGAGCGGCGTCCGCCCCTCGCCGCCGACCCCTGCTCGACCCATGCGCAGTCCCGCGTTTTACAGTGTTTTCTGCTTCTTCCACTTTTTCCGGCTTTGTGGCTCAAGATGGGTCAACATGGCCCAACATAAGCCGAAAAAAGTGCCCAAGTTGGGCCAACATGCCCAAGATGGGCCAACATAGGGTCAAGATGGGCCAACATAGCCCCCAAGCTGGGTCAAGATAACCCCAAGATGGGCCAACATAGCCCCAAGATGGGCCAACATAGCCTCCAAGATGGGCCAACCTAGCCCCAAGATGGTCGCCGAAAACCTTGGTTTTCCATTGGTTTTCTATCACGACTGCAGCAAGCCCTTTGCTTGGGCCCCTGGCCGGCTGTCGGGCGTAAGCCCTTAAATAACCACTCCTTACTATGAGAGACAAAACACAAAATCCCTTTCGTTTCTTCGTTGGGTGTCTTTCTTTATTCATTTAGAGTGCCGAAAAGTTCAAACCTCTCTTCACATGTCCTGAATCTCCCGAGTATTGATTTGCCTCTTCACCTGGGCTCCAAAACTCGCTCAGGTGAAGCCTTCAGACTCCTGAGGCGCAAGCCGTCCATGTCCTCGGACAGCTTCCAAAAACGTCGTCCACGCCGCTGAATGTATTCAAACGTGAAAAACTCAAGAACTGAAGGAGTAGTAACAATGACCTCGCTAAAAAGACCCAAAGAACTTGAAAGCAGTTTTTCACGCCAAGCATCCACGCAAATGGAGTAGTAGTAGCCAGGAGCCAATCCAACAGCATTGATGTTTATTCTCCATCGACTTGGAAACTCCTGGATCACTCGGGTGTTTCAACTGCGAAGGTCTTGTACCTTTTCGTTTTGAGAGCCGTATCAGGTTGCTCCTCCAACAGTGGTTCAGAGGCAGTGTTCACACCAGATGTTGCTGACTTCACAGTATTGGAACTCATGTCGCAGGTGAGAGCCTGAGCAAAACAAGAATGTCCCCATGACTATGTGCTGTTAAAAGAGAAAGGTGACCATACGATATGCGGTCATGTTAGGGCCTCCTGGCCTTACTACTAGGAGCAAGGACGCTACTAGGGGCTCTTGGCCTTACTACTATTTGTGACTGCAAGCGGAAAGGTAATTGAAAGCCGGATGAACATGAATACGGTCGCCTAACCGTGCAGTGCAGCTGACGGTCGAACCACAGTATCAAATGAGAACAGCACCTAACCTACTAGGGATGGCCTCCAACCTAGAAGTGATGTGGGGGATGCAATGCTGGAAATTGCATCGAAACATCATTGCAACCTGTGTTTGCACAGTTCAATGGCTACGAGTTAAGATGTCACGACCCCGGTTAGAAGGCATTATTGTAATCCATAACGAGCGATTTATCAATTTATCAGGTGCATTTCCGTGTAATATCAAACGCTTCTTACACACCCCTTGCATTGGGATGCATTGGCAGGGGCCCAAATTTTGACCCACACCCATACAGCATCGAGTTCAACAAAGGCAAGAATTACTGGCTTGTGGTCTTGGTTCTTTCGAATATATTATAGTATAGTTGATGTTTCTCAAACTGTGCATGAAACTATTCATTGTCAGACCGACAATGAAAAGAAAAAGCAAGGTTGGGCACATACAGAAAACCTTGTGCTTTACAATGTTTACTCGTGGCAAGGCGCACGGCAGTGGAATAAAGAAACGCCTTTTTGATCGTTTTCACCACTGGTTGATATTGTAAGTCTTTGTCTTTGTCGCTGGTCAATTGGCGCTCGTACCGCGGGGAACCGCTGGCAAACCGGGGTAAGCGGTGGCAAGCTGAAAGTGCTGGCACGGTCTGCTTTGTTTTTTGGCACAATCAAAGAGAAGACCGGCTGATTAAGACGGGCAAAGGGACGTGTCCACTTGCCGTTTCCAGTTGGCTTGCCATTTGTGTGTGGTGGCTAGAAAAAGCAATATCGACATGCTAGCTGCTAGCAATGACGACCCTTTTCTTTTGATGGTGCCAAATGAACCTTGAACAAAAGTTGTTCCAGGGCAATTTCTTTGGTGGATCGGTTTGCTTTGGAGGTGCCATCTAATCAGCAAGAATGCTAGAGGAAAAAGGGAAGGTGTTTGAGCCTTCCTTTCTCTCCTCACAGCCTTACTTTTAAAATGGTACCTTTCCCGGGCTAGTACACCTTCGTTCGAACCCCTCTTGGAGCCTCGTTCGAAGTCGAAAGCTCTCACGACTGGTCGACGCCAAGAAACCAAGTAGGCGGTGCTGTTCTCGGAACAGCCGGAGCTGCAATCCAAGGACACATATTGTCCACTGCTCGGTTCCACCGTACGCCTTACCAAACCGCGAGAGTCACCCCTTGCAGTGCCCTTATTGTTTTAACTTAAAGACAAAAGCTAACTAGGATGGCCAGCCCCGTTCGTAGCTTCCTTGCTCCGTTCGTAAGGCCAGGAGCCCCGGAACTCGTAGCTTCTTGTTGCTACTAGTAAGGCACTTGTTACTACTAGCGATGCACTTATTACTAGAAGCGATGCACTTGTTACTACTAGCGTGGCACCTGTTACTACTAGCGTGGCACTTGTTACTACTAGCGTCCTTGCTCCTAGGTACGGGAGGAGGCGATCGGTCGCGATGTACATTGGTCCTGAGACATAAATCTTCACGGCAGAATTGCCAAAGCCCAAAGTGGTCGTCACCCCATCATAGTCCACACCTTATTGCTGGTGTAGACCAATTGTAGGCCCAAATAGAGATTTCTTGCAAACACCCCATCACACTCTACATGCCGTTTCACAGATTTCTTGCACATCGCATCTGTTCAAGCTATATCTGCAAGACTGAGCCATGTAGCAAAGCTCATAGAGATCTCCCACATGTAAAGTGCTAGCATCGATTTGAACAGCTTGTTCGGAGGCAACTGGTTGGTACACAATCCTCGGGCATTGCACACGTCTACCAGGTTACCATCCTCTACGATGGGATACCTTGCAACATCTGAGCCCCGCTGAGTTTTTTATCCAAGCAACGAAGAAGGTGTTCTTGAGCTGTTGGCAACAAGCTGAGATCCATCATAAATCAGGTCTTCACCTCGCTGTCTCACGAAGTTCGTACATACACAGGCTGTTTGCTCGGTGACGTTCAAGACAGGCCTCATAAGGCCCTTGTAAGAGAGGAAAGAATAAGGTAAAAAAGATAGAGCTACTCAAACAAGAAGAATGAGGAGGACGAAGAAGAAGGCCTGTTTATACTGCCATCAATTCTCTTTTTCCTCTGCCTTCTGTCTTGGAACGTTGGAAGTAGGGGGAGTAGCAGGGGTAGTTGCCGATAGCCGGTCTTGGAAGCAGTTGGTACCTGATATCTTCACTTCGTTCCAGCTGAGAAACAGCGACCTTCGCTTGTCAAATATATTGTCGTTGCGGATTGTGGGCAGCCAGCATTCCCATCAATGCCTCAAAACAAATGACAATCAGCTTGAAACTCATATGTTGAGTGAATCAAGCATCTACATTGCACAAAAATCGAAACTCACAAAGAGGAGGCCGGCAAGCTGTCTTTGCACAGGCGTGCAGACGTCGCTACTCCTTGCTACTGGCCACGGGAATATCCTGTAAATAACTGAAAAATGGATTTCTCTGATCTCGGCGAAGCTACAAAGCCGGACCCAAAACTCTAAAACAATCTGCAGAATGCTTTGTGCTCTCACAAACAGCCCAGCCAACTAGCAAAGCCATCGGGTTCGCAGAATGCATTGAGTCTGGAGCCACATCAAGCGATGCGATCCCGTGCTGATTTCTACCGACGTAGTGCGCGGCGCCACTGCGGCAGTCTATCGCGACCGAACTACGAAGCTTTACAAGGCCCGAACGCGCCGGCCAAAGAGCAAAACCTGCCAGCGCTTGAACCAGTGACGCGTGTGGCATAGCGCCAACCCTTCCTTGCTATTCTCCCCTGTGGGCGCTAAGCTCAGTAGTTTGTACGCACATAGAAAAAGACTTGATGAAAGTCTTGCTTGTTTGCCTTTTTTGATAAACAGTTTGCAAAGTGCAAAGCTGTAAGCTCATCACAAGTGAGCGTCAGGATCTGAGCGGCTTGGTTGTTGATCTTCGCAGGTTCCACGGCCGTTACCTGAAACAAAGAAAGCTGAGGAAAGCCAAGACGTCGCAAGTAACCCCAAACCAATATTGTTCAGGGATGCCTTCATCTGAATTCTCTTTTGACCTCCAAGTCGGGCTCTTTGGACATGCAAATCACAGGGGTGTTTGCTTCTCGCGTGAACTCCAGTTTGCTCACAACCATGGCTGTTGTCAAAGCCATTTGCGATTCTTGTCAAAGTGCCGTAGAGAGGTACACGGACAGCCCGGTCCAGCCAAAAGTCTTGGCAAAAGTAGTGCCTGCAAAAGTAGTGTCTTTGCGGAGGAAAGGTGAACGAAAAGAACCTAGACCTAGAAGCAATGGCCTCCAACCTAATAACGAAAAGAATATTGGCGAGAAAATGCAGCACATGTTACAAGCTGCAAAGGCCTCCAACCGTACTTGTGGAAGAACCGTCCAGGTCCACGCAAATCTGGTAGCTCCCCTTGGAAGCTTGAAGGCATGAAGTGAAGGCATGGCAAAATGTTTGTCTCCCCTAACAACAGGATTGGGATACAAGGAACAAGGACGCTACTAGGGGCTCCTGGCCGTACTAGTAGGAGCAAGAAGCTACTAGGAGCAAAGGGCATCGCTACTAGGAACACATGAGACTTTGCGGTGCCACTGGCGCACTAAGTTGGCTGATTCAGATTAGTTCGTTTAGAATCTATTGCTCCTAGTAGCTTCTTCCTCGTACTAGTAAGGCCAGGAGCCCCTAGTAGCGCCCTTGTTACTGGTAGCAATGGCCTCCATCGCCAAAAGTGTGTGGGGGAGCTGGAAGGCTGGAAGTCAGCTCCACCTCTCCACCTCTCCCTGGGGGGAGGTGGGTCAGGTAGGCTGTAAGCTTAAGAGTGTAAGTAAAAGCTCCGTATGAAGTTCTGTAAGAAGCTAAGTATCTTGCAGAACTTGCTTTACAAACATATACTGTAATATATATATATAATATATATATATATGATATATTATATACGGTATAGGTAGCTAAGCTTCAGCTACATGAACATGCTACTACCTACCTAGGACGCACTCTCTGCTCCAAGAAGCTCCGCTGGCCAAACCCGTGGCACTGACCTTGGGAACAATGATAAACAAAAAAAAGGAAGGTTTTTTAAGAAAACATGATAAGCACAAAAAGAAACACATGTTTTCGGTTTAGATATAGTTTCCCTCAGGTCAAGTCCTCTTGGTATCGTGTTGTTGTGCTTGTATCGCCTCAGAAAGAGTATCAAAGCTCGCCAAGGCGGAAGCAGCTCCTCTCTCTAGGCAACAGTCAACAGGGTAAACTGCCAAAAAACACATTCAACCATGATGACCAAGCGCAAGGAAACTTCCAATTCAGTCTAGCCATTACCTAAAATAAACGTAATATGAAATATGCGGGCAAATTGAAGCACGCACCTCTACTAGTCTACTCCACCAAACCATGGATGAGGTGTGACCAGACTTGTTTCTCCTTCAGCCGAAAAAGAGCTCTAAAGTGGCGATTTCAAGTTGGATTTTGAACTGTCTGAACTTGGCATTAATATACCAACCGTATGCAGAAAAAAAAACACTTGATGTCTTTCGCTTGGGCGCCAAGAATGAGCGCTGCAGCATTCTGTGTATTGCCGGCATCGAACACAAAGGCACTGGTAGCCTGTCGGAAGTGCTTGCACAAAATCAACATCGCTCCATCGCTAGTAGGTTGGAGGCCATCGCTCTTAGGTTGGTTGCACAAAATCCACATGCCGTGCCCTTCTTTCCGAACAAACCCAGCGCACCGTTGCACACTCACTGCTCCAAAGGGCCAAGTAGAGGAGGGCAGTGGAAGGGCCTTGGTGAATGCAACCCGTGTGCTGGTGAAACTGCAAAACACCCTGAGAGCTTGACACGAGTCAAGAAGCTATTAGAAACAATAAGCTACGAGAAACAAGTGCATCGCTTCTAGTAACAAGTGCCTTACTAGTAGCAACAAGAAGCTATTAGAAACAATAAGCTTCTTGTTACTACTAGTAAGGCACGTGTTACTTGAAGCGATGCACTTGTTCCTAGTAGCGATGCACTTGTTACTACTAGTAAGGCAAAGCACCCTGAGAGCTTGACACGAGTCAGCAGATTCGCAAGTCAGCTCAAGGTATGCATTGAAGGTCTTGCTGACGGCTACATTTGCAGTTGAGACCTTCAGCGCCATGAATGGATATGGTTTGAAAAAAGCCATTAGGGGCGCCTGGCCTTGCTACTAGGGGTTCCTGGCATCGCTACTAGGAGCAGGGACACTACTAGGGGCTCCTGGCCCTACTACTAGGAGCCCCTTAATTGAATCATGAATCCCTTCATGCCAACTGCTAACCCGGCACCATGGCGCTAATGTAGATGGTCTGGCCAGCAAATCCAAATGCCAAGTCCTGCGATCCAAAGGCAAATGCTAATGCCACCTGGTCACTCATTTGTCGCAATTTCTAAAGCCACATAGCAATGGCCCTACTAGCGATGGCCTCCAACCTAATGGCCAATGCTAGGCCACTCACATTTCCCGTGAACACCACGGTGGCGAATTTCAGACTCCTCTCGAACACCGTCCATGTCCAAACAGAGCTGGTAATTCACACCTAGGTCGAATGTGTTCAAGTCTTATTTTTCACACCACGTATGAACTCTTTAAACGAAGATGTGCATCAAACGCGGAGTGTTCTGGGGGCGGCGCCCACTGTCAGCTGCGAGGTATCAAATGTGGCACCCCACCCTGGACAAGTGTTTCTCTTCTGCTTCATCAAGCACAAGGAGCGTGTTCACATGTCAAACAGCGTCAAACAGCATGTTGATCATGTTCCAATGCAAACAGCACCACTTGTTTGGATGTTTCGCGCAAACTGCAGTGTGAGCTGAGAGTTTACGCCATCCTGTACAGCATTTCACAGCTTCCGATGGGCACTGTTCATCTGGGTGTTTGACCCTGTGCACATCATGGATACTGTAGAGGGTGAGTTTTTGCGTTCATCAACATGTTCCCTTTGTTACTGATTGCGGTGAAGTTATGTGAAGCATTTGTGTGTGCGTCACTCTGGGCACTTAGATGCACTTAGGAAGTTCCCAAGGATGGGGGTGGCCTCCTGTGCGGACTGTTATCCATGATGCGCTCCGTGTCCATCATGAGGCACGCCACTTGCTCGACAATTTGTTGCAATTTCTAAAGCCACATAGCGATGGCCTCCAACCTTTGACCATTTGCCGTTCCAGACTGAGCAATTTCTAAAGCCACCTGAGGTGACGAACGCCCCAAGGCAAAGCGTCTTCGATAGCTTTGAGTCTCCAGGTTGGTTTGCTGCACACGTTGTCTGCTTTCTGCGCAGTGGAGGCAGCCAATCCAAGTAATTTCATTTCCTCTGCACTCACTCAGCTTCAAGTGGAGCATGTAGATTGTAGATCTGGCCAAATCTGGATAGCTCCAACATTATCCCTGTTGGCCATGCAGGAGCTCACTGGAAAACGCGCTTCTGATCATCTCAACAGCTCAACAGCTCCTTTTCCATGCAGGACATCATGGGCCTTAAATCCTTCACTTTGGGCCAGCAAATCCTCTGGGCCTTTGTCACTCTGACTGTCACAAAGTGTTTATCGTCAAAGTGTATGTTGTCGCAATCAATTTAAAGACTCGGCACAGTGAATCGGGCAATGGTTGCAACACCCACCTGTGTCAAACTCTTCCAGAAAAGCAGAAGCAGTACCGCTGTATCGACCTCGACGGCCGTAACATGAAGCCGACAAGTGCTGCAATACTTGGAAAAGGACTGACCATATCAGTGCTCTCTACACTGCAAAAACCCTCAACCTCACTGTGTTACCCACTGGTCGGAGTGCTGCGAACACCACCGAAGTCCGTGCTGTCACACCTCCATCGACCGGAATATCTCGAACGTTGAGCGAATCAAACTCATAACAAACTTGTTCTTGTAGCTTCTTGCCACTAGTAGCGATGCCCTTTGCTCTTAGTAGCGTCCTTGCTCCTAGTAGTATGGCCAGGAGCCCCTAGTAGCGTCCTTGCCACTTAGCACTTGATCAAAGCGTTGCCTAAGCTTAGCAAAGTCCTTTGAGGGTTCGTCAAGGAAGCCTCTCGTGATTCTAGGACGTTTGAATGACAAAACATGACAAAATGTAGTAGGATGGTGTAAGTACATCTTGGACATCGTGGAAGTTAGTAGGCTCCGACACAGAGTTCCGGGGAGCTTTCTTGAAGAATCCTTCGCATGATTGATGTGGTTCCTGGATGTTGAAAGCTTAACCTTTAGACCTTTCTATGCTTGAATTGTCTTTCTTTTGTTCTTTCCTTGGCAACCGTTGAAAAAACATGCATCATATCCAGTTGTACAAACGCAGCTTGGAGCACGCAATGGCCAAGTAGGCGGAGCTGGAGTTGCTGCACTGCGGGCAATCGAAGATCAAGGTTTCGCTGCTTTTCCGTGTCACTCCTGGTTTCGATTGAAGCTAGTAGTAACAAGTGCATCGCTTCTAGTAATAAGTGCATCGCTAGTAGTAACAAGTGCCTTACTAGTAGTAACAAAAAGCTATTAGAAACAATCTCTCGAGCGCTGGAAGTTCGGGGGGTCTCCTTTCTGCTGCTTCAAGCCGAATTTATAGTGGGGAATGCCAGACGAACCTGCCACAAGTGTGAGGAAATGAATCACATGGCCAAGTAATTCGGGAAAAGCAGAAGTGATTGGTTCCGTGATCGGTACTTTTCGGTGAAATGTCTTGAAAGCACAAATTATATGTGCATCTCTTTGCGCCTGTGACATACCATAGGAAGTCATTTGCGCCCATGGGGTTAGTTCCAGTGCTGCCGTCCAAGTCGGTGCAAAGCCTTATATAGAAGTTCATGGAAAACAAGGACGCTACTAGGAACAAGTGCATCGCTTCTAGTAACAAGTGCCTTACTAGTAGTAACAAGAAGCTACTAGGGGCTCCTGGCCTTACTACTAGGAGCAAGGACGCTACTAGGAACAAGGGCATGCGAGCGCTTCTTCAAGGAAGCTCACCGCGCCGTCTTTAGGGCGGTGGGGCGGGTTTCCTTGAAGAAGCGTGAGCTATCCTGCGTTCAGTAGCTGGTAGCTAACTTGGCCCTTAAATAAATAAGTAGATGCCTAAAAAGGAAATAGCAAACAAACAAAGACAAAGGTGTCTAAAGAAAGTGTTTCCTTTGCTTTAAGATGCAACATCCACGAAACGTGTAGTGCCGGCCAGCTTGTAGACTGGATGCGTCGATGGTTGCGGTCCAATCGGGGGAAGCCTCAAACAGCAACCCCGACGGAGCTACTAGTAGCGTCCTTGTTCCTAGTAGCGATGCCAGGAGCCGCTAGTAGCTTCTGGTTCCAAGTAGCGATGCCAGGAGCCCCTAGTAACTTCTGGTTCCTAGTAGCGATGCCAGGAGCCCCTAGTAGCTTCTTGCTCCTAGTAGCGATGCCCTTTGCTCCTAGTAGCGTCCTTGTCCCTAGTAGCGATGGCCTCCAACCTACTTGCGATGGCCTCCACCTAATAGCGTCTTTGCTACTAAGCATTTCACGTTTTCAACTGTTCAAAATTGAACATGCTTCATCACATGTCGTTTTCAAACGTTCCCGACGTTTCTCGTACATCTGTTCCCTTCTTTCGACCGTAACGCTGATTTAGATGGTTCATTTTTGCGTTGCGGCTTTGGCTTTGTCTCTTTGTTGATTCACAAGATGGATTCCAATATATACAAGAATGCTCTTTTGTCAGGGAGGCAACCCCAGCAAGGTTCACTGCCGCTGTGTTCATTGCCTTGGGGGCCAGGCCGAACGGAAATTATGACATTTCATTGATGTGAATCTGACTTTCTTGAGCCGCGAGCTCCATTCGCTACAATGTTGCCATCAGTGATGGTGCCGTCACAGGTGACAGCAAGGTACGCCTGATGCAAAGTTCCTAGTAGCTTCTTGTTCCTAGTAATTAGTACGGCGAGGAGCCCCTAGTTGCGTCCTTGCTCCTAGTAGCGATGCCCTTTGTTACTAGTAGCTTCTTGTTCCTAATAGCTTCTTGTTACTACTAGTAAGGCACTTGCTCCTAGTAGCGTGGCACTTGTTACTACTAGCTTCTTGTTCTGCATGAGTCATGCAATAAGTCTTGCGTTAGTCTCAGGCAAATCTTGGTGTCTGACCATGGTGTCTGTAGAACAGCCACTGCAAGTCATCGTAAGCACCTCCCATCGTAGAGGCCAAAGCTGCTAACTGAGGCAATTTGATAAAGCCTGAGCCTTGATTTCTCCAAGGATTATCGCTACTAGGGACAAGGAGCCCCTAGTAGCTTCTTGCTCCTAGTAGCGATGCCCTTTGCTCCTAGTAGCGTCCTTGTCCCTAGTAGCGACACTCCTTGATAAATGGACCGCTGAAACTCGTTATAGGAGCTGAAATTCTTATCGAGCACTCTCGCAACAAAAAAGTGCCTGCCCCGCTGCAGCCGAGATGGTACCTCTGCTAGCCAATTCTGCAAATCTCAGAAAATATCAATTGTTCAGTTGTAACACTCAACATTTGTTGTGACAATTTGCAAATATGTCTTGAATTTGCAAATACCATGTCTTGTTCTTGTGAATTTTGAGCCTCCTGAAGCAGTTACAGAAGCCATGTAGACCTCATGGGGATGTCACTTTCGAGCATTCCACTCTTCCATGATCTCCATCTTCCCAAAAATAGATCAGGCCGGCGCCTGAAAGCCTGTATCCCCGAAGGCATAGTCAGTGGCAACTCCATCAAGGTCCACGCAAATCCGAAACCTCTTGATTTCGCACGAACGGTAATTAAAACCTCTTGGCTTCCACCCAAGCAAAAAGTTTGGGCCTCAATCCCGGAGTCAAGGCTGTGCTGTCCACAAAAGCCAGCACAACTCCTGACACCAATCAAGCAACCGAACTGATTCCAAAAACACTGAATTTCAATGAACTGTCGACTTGACCGTTCATTTTCCCTGTGTGGGGTTCTGAGTCGCATCCAGTTTCTACAAACATACGTCCAAAGTAGTAAGGCCAGGAGCTACTAGTAGCGTCCTTGCTCCTAGTAATGTTCCTTTAATACCAAAAAACTCACACCTTCCACATGCGGTTTCAGCCGCCAGTATGGTGTTCGAGACGCAATCTGCAAAGCCTATGCTGAGCTCCTGCTGTTCCCCCTAGTGGAGTGGTTGCGACAGAACTTGACCTGCGCCAAAATGTTAACTTTTTCCGGAAAACAAAATTTGGAGGCCATCGCTATTTTTCTTTTGTATTCCTCTTCTTTGTTTACGTTTTTCACTTGTTTTATTAAGCTCCAAACAACGAGGCTTTAAGCTCCGGACTGGTCCGCACTCCCAGTCTTCTGGCCGCCAAAGTCCAAGTGGTCGCAGAAATACTGGCCAGTGGGATCCAAAAGTCAACAGTCTCAGTTTTTCGTCAACCTCCAACACCTAGTAGCGTCCTTGCTCCTGGAGCCCCTAGTAGCGTCCTTGCTCCTGGAGCCCCTAGTAGCGTCCTTGCTCAAACACCAAAACAACAGTTTGTTCATCTTTCCTTTGAAAGTGTGCAAATGAGGGAGGGATCCCCATGCCATGATAGTAGCCGTCTAGGTCCCCCCAAACCAGTCTTGGCGACGGCCCCCCTGTCATTCCATTGATGTGGTCCATGTCGGCGGCTCCAGCCCTACTGTGCCCTTGTTACTAGTAGCTTCAAAGACCTCCTAGCAGCTTCTTGTTACAACAAGTGAAATGATTCCCAGTGAAACGATTCCCAAGGAAGCTTCTAGCTACTAGTAGTAATGCCCTTGTTACTACCTTTCATTGTGTTCCGCCTTGTTTTGGCGAAAGTGCATGATGCGTTTGGAACGCTAGATGGTGCCAAAGCGGTAGAAGTAACCAGCGGTGTCGGCAGCTATTGTGATTCTTGGCCTCGCTGGAGTTGCGTTGATCCTTGAAACAAAAACACCGTGTTTGTTCAGTATATGGCACCGGTAGTACCATGTGGTGTTGATGTTGTTGCATCATGTTGCCACGTTGCTCACAAGGTGCATCTGGGGACAAAGAGAAAGGCAAAGGTACCTGATGAGTTTACCGGTAAGCTTAAGTAGCTAGTAGGGGTAAGTAGATAGCAAGCTACTAGCTAGGACGCAGGACAGCCCTCGCACTATTTATTTGGTTTCCAGACTTTGGAAACTTAACTTACTGTCTTGTGTTGGTTGCAAATCGCAACTAGCCCGTAACAGCCATCGAATTGATTCAACATGTCTTGGAATCTGAAAGACCAAGACTTGTTGTGCCAACTTGGGGGCCTAAGTGCTCAATCGACAGTTCTAGTGATGCTGTATGTCCTGCTTGGATTCTCTCCTTGCATTGGACCTTTGGTGACACATGCATTCAACCCCTTCCCAGCCTGTGCCACTTGCGGTTCGCTTAACAGGGAGATTGAGAGGGTTCCTCTTAGGCCGCAAGTAAAATGGCGAGCACAATTGATAGTAAGGGTAATTAACGAGGGACTGCATTTTTTCCGCCTCGTTTTTTCACACGATTCCCCAAACAGTGCGCTGGCTTGCCTGCTCGTCTATGATGTACACGCGACTGTCAATGGAGCAGCTCTCACAATTTAGCCGCAACCTGGAACCGGCATTCCCACTTCATTAGGAGAAAATTGTCCGCATCCCATTTGTGGAAGACCACTTCCCCTGAAGATTGGGATCCTGTCGTTTTCCACTTGCGCTGTCTCGAAACTGAAACTGCATCCAAGCAGCTCTGCAGTTGCGCTCGAATAGAAGCCGTTGTACCAAGTCTACAAGCGACAAAGTAGACCCAGCCACACACAAAATGTTTCTCCAGAAACAAACAGTTTAGAGACCGTTGCCGCATCTTGTTGAAGGGACGTAGTAGTAGTGGCAGTAGGAGCAGGAGTAAGACTCGCAGTAGGAGGAGTAGGAGCAGCAGTAAATAGTAAATCAACAGGTTAGCTAGCTACTAGTAGCAAGGCGCAAGTCAGATCGGGATCTTTGTCTGATCAAAACGGCTCCTAGGTTGGAGGCCCTCGCTATTAGGTTGGAGGCCAAGCCGGAAGCATGACAAGTTCTCAGTCGTAAAGCTGCGTGATTGGCAAAAGTCCTGCAGTCACATTGTTGTTTCTTGCTCCTCGTAGTGGCGTCTTTGCTCCTAGTAGCGATGCCAGGAGCCCCGCCCCTGGTAGCTTCTTGTTACGTACTAGTAGGTATTGCTTCCTTTTCTTTCAACTACAGTAATTAATGAGCTACAGTGATTTGTGTTCTGCTCAAGCCGAAGGGAAAGCTCCGAACAATCGCTTGGTATCATTTTGGGTCTTGCAGATCGCTTCTGTCGTGTCAAGATCCACCAGCGGCACCGAAACGGCGATCCACTGATACGTATTTGAAGAAAGAACAAAAGAAAGACCTTTAGACACCGCTTTTGGGTTGGAGGCCACTTGAAGAAAGGAAGAAAGAAAGAAAGACCTTTGGACTTTAGACCTCTTCTGTCTTTCTCAGCATCGGGAAGTGCCCGATTGTCTTTTACACGTACACCATGCAAGTCATTATATGTCCAGGTTGGTTTCAAACAACATTAGATCACCACTTTCCGCACACAAACAATAGAATGGCAGACAGCCGCATTGCAAACTTTTCTGGAGGGGAGAGATCCTTTCTTGATCAGGCCAGAGCGATGCACTCTCATTCCACTGGTGGCACCGAGTGTGATCCAAAACAGACAGAGATTCACGAGAAAAGGGTGTAACAAAGAAGCTACTAGGAACAAGTGCATCGCTTCTAGTAACAAGTGCCTTACTAGTAGTAACAATAAGCTACTAGGAACAAGTGC